ATGAGTGCCCAGGATCCCAAGAGGAGAATGGAAGAGAAGAGACTGTGGCATGGCCATCCCCCCTGGGAGGGTGATTTCTTGCTCTCCGTCTCTTTGTCTCTCTGTCTCTCTGGCGAGCACACGCGCCCTATAGAAAAAGCCTTTCCAAAATAAGAAAAAAGAACCAAAGTTTGAACTCAAACTATTGAGACTGTAGTGAGGAGAGAAATGTTACCATGTGGGAGGTAAACAAAGCTAAAGATCTTAAGCATATTTATTCTCCACATGCATTATGTCATGTTTTGTTGATAAAGATACTTCGTAAAGATAATTACAGAATGTTTCATGTTAAAGTATTAAACAGTGTATATATATATGTGTGTGTGTGTGTGTGTGTGTGTGTGTGTGTGTATTTTTTTTTTTAATAGAGAGATTTTTGCTATATGGGGTATGTATGTGCTCACTGGAGAGAGAGAGAGACAGAAAGTGAGAAAATGCCCCCAAAAGGGATGGCCACGCCACAGTGCCTTCTTCTCCACTCTCCTCTCAGGATCTTGGGCACACATGCACATGTGCTCAGCATGAGCTTTAAGATGCTGGGTCCAGAAGTTGAACCATAATCAACTACATGGGAGTTCAGCGACATAACCATTACACCACCTGCTGGTCCCAACTAAACAGTATTTTTTAACAAAAATCTGTGGTTTATAGATAGTCTCACAATATCAATAAGAAGACTAAGAGAATGGTAAATTAACTCACTCTTTTCTGTTTATTTTGTAACCCATCCTCTTTATTTTCTGATTCACCTCCAGTCAGAAGGTCTGTTCCAATGTTGCTAAAAACCTTGTCAACCTGCTGCAATAGAAAAAAGTCAACTGTTTGAGTAGATTTCAGTAAAAATGTGACTTTACTCCTTAAAGAGTAAAAGCCCCCAAATGAAGCATACTGTCAAGCACTTTCTATAAACATTCTATCTTCTTACCTGATTCCCAACATTTGCAACTTTTGTCTCCTCAGAAGCATTCATTTGATTTCCTATGTCCAGAGATCTGCATGAGAGTTGAATTAGGACAAAGCAACAAAAAAGAATATATTTTTAAAATACTCATACTAAAAAATTTATTCACATGGAATTTACCAGAATTCAATTAACTGCAGCTCATTCTTTAATATTTTATATTGTCTGTTTGCTTAAAAAAAAAAAAAAAGAAAAGAAAAAGTATTTGTATATAAGCTCTTTTTTTACAACCCAATAGTTAAGATTTACTGGAGGATTTATTCAGCGTTCTAAAGTCAGGCAAATACAGTTCTTAATGTCAAAGAGCTTAGTATCTCACTGAGAGACAAGATATGATAGGAGAACTTTATGTCACTGTGTGCAGAATCTATGATACTAACAATAAATGCTACAATCGCTGTATGTGGGCCAATCACTGTGATGTGGGACAGAGGTATGCCTTGAAAAACTGTCAGGATCTAGATAAGAGGAAGAGAAAAGGAAGTTTGTTTCTGCTTTCAAATATAAGTAACAGACCTTAACAGTATGTTCCTACCTACAATACATATTTAAGAATTATTTTTCAGGGCTCCTATGTTAAGATAGTCCATCTAGCAAACATCACACACATGTACACCAGAACACTTAGCATACAAAGGCTATTTCACCTATTTCTGCACTACATGCATTTATTTCCATAAGTCTTCATCTTATAGTAGGACAGAGCTAAAGAGATTCTACCTGGGGACTTTGATTAATATAAATTTTACTTATTTCAGATGTCTTTAGGTTCAGGATTACACTTTCACAGGCATCCAACATTCACGTGCTCTGTGCTGGGACAAAGACTACAGCGAAGCTTTGATTTTAATGAACTGCCATTCCCCAGTGAACCTTGTCTGCCTCCACTTTCTTCCTTTGAATCTTAGTGCTTTACAAGTAATTTAGAACAATCTCCACAAAATAAAGAGGTGGATATTGTGGTACTACAGATAAAACAAATGTCCTAAAACTCAAAAGGTGGGGGCTTCTGAAATGTTCTGAAGTTGGAGAAAAGAAAAAGAGTGAAATCAAGCATAAAAAACATAATGCTGAGATTATATCATATTACACTTTCATAGTCACAAGTCCCATTAAGATTTTCAACAGCATTGTATTTTAACACAATTCAACTGATTATATATTGGAAAAAATTTTAATTTTTACACATGGTCAAATTAAAATAAGTAACTTTTTCTATTTCAGATTCTAGAAAAATCAGTCATGAGATAACTTTACCTCCCTCCTGGACAAAGTACAATTCATTTGCAACCTACTTACTTCTGCTGTTCTTGCATTATATGAAGTTGCTCTAGTTTAGTCTTGTGTTCAGACTCCAATCTATTCAGCATCTCTTTTATCACGGAAATGAAAGAATTGAACTGGTATAATGAGAAATCAATATGGTTATGTTGCAAGTTAGTAGCAATGTGATCAATTAAGATAATTCGATGAGTTAATCATAATAGTCTCTATTTTTACCAGTAGTTTAAGACCCACACACAGCACCAATGTCACAACAAGGACAGTTTAATTGGACTTAGCATATGAGGGAGGCTGAGCCATGGTGGTTCAAACTACTTAGATGCTGCTACTCAAAGGCTGGGGCCACATGGGAGGCCTGGGTTCAGTTCTCAGCCCAACCTAAATAGGACAGGTGTGTTAGTGTGCAGCTATTGTCCTACTTAGGTGGGAGACCAGGACAAGAGGATCCTAACATGGTGAGACCCTGTCAAAATCACTCACTCACTCTGCCAAATAAAATAAAATCATGAGGATGACAAATGGCATTTTCCTTCAGTTTATCATAACTGACTTTCTGCCAACTTTAAAACTTTATTAAAGTAAAATGAACAGAAAAGTATTCATGTAAGTGCATAGCTCAACAAACTCACAAACTGAACTTACCCATGTCACTAGTAGCCAGATGAAGGAGAACCTTATCAGAGCCCCAGAAGCTTCCTCATGCCTCCTAGTCATTTCTCAACCCAACACCCTATGGGTAAATTCTGACTCCTAGCAGTATAAATTAATTTAGACTATTTTTGTACTATATATAAGTTGAATCATATAATAGATCCTCTTCTATGCCTGCTTTCATTTGTTCAACACTGTGTTTGTGATATTCATCCATACTGCTTGCATGCAATTTGTACAGAAAAGAGTTAATAGGCCTAAACTGCTATCCCTGGAAAGGCCTGCTTGCAGGACCTTAGATTTCTGGAAGGTTTCCATTAATAAGTGATAACAGTGGCTCACTGTGCTTGCCTAAACTGTTTGTACAAAAAATATGTTCCATACCGAACCCTGATTTCCTTCTAGAATTTGAATATATGTCAGGCAAAAGGTACTACTTGTTCAGTCCTCAATAAAAACTCTTGGTGCTGAGTCTCTAATGAGTTTCCCAGTAGCACCATTTCACACCTCTTGTCCAAATGCATTACTGGAGGAATTGAGTACATCATGGGTACTTCTGCTAGAAGATTCTGGAAGCGTGCACCTGGTTTCCACTGGACTTTACCCTGCTTCCCTTTCCTGATTTTGCCTTACATTCTTTCATCACAGTAAATCACAGCAGTAAGTACAACCATTATGTTGAGTCCTAAGAATCATCCAATGTGGGGATGGGCTGAGAATCTCCCCCAAACACAAATTATGTGAAATTACTTCAAAAAGTCTTTGGAAAAAAAAGGAATTCATTTTGGTGCAGGAAATCCATGCATAGTTTATAATATGCATTTTTTCCATCAAATTCTTGAAGACCCCCTCCATCAATTATTCAACATGAATGCTACATGGTAGTTGCTATTTTTAAATCAAATGCTAAAAATGTGTTTTTCTAAGTTGCTTTACCTTTTTCCCCAGTAAAGGATTTTAAATCTGAATTGACAGAAGAGGACAGTCTTCAGTTTAGAACTATGACCATGAAATGAACAAGAAATCAGACCACATCCATTTTTTTTCCTTTCCCTTTTCCCCTCAATAACCTTGCCAGGGGATGTGTATCATTGTAGAGACAGAGACAGAGATGGAGAGGGAGACAGAGACAGAGAGAGAGAAAAAAAAACGACAAAGCATTGCTCATGGGGAATGGTCATATCACAATCCCTTCTCTTTCTCCTTTTGGTATTTTGGGCATGCATACATGTGCGCGTGCACATACACACACACACACACACACACCCAGAATGTGTTTCAGGCCATCAGTCTCTTGACCTGAACCACACAATAATCCATGTGAAATCCTGCTCTCTTAACCACCAGGCCACAGGATGGTCCCAGACCACATACATTCTTCTAAACTACTGTAAAATATCAGAAAATATATATATAAAATAAATATCAAATAAGTCAGGACATATTTTTTTCTATGCAAAGACACGTCATGACTCTTCCAACAACCCAATAAATCAAAGTGTCTTTGTTGATGAAAATATAGACCCTAAAAAAATCATAAAGCTGGAGAATCTAGCCCATTTCAAACAGAATTATATGTCTAGAAATATAAGAACTTAAGAACAAAAAGGACAAAAAAACTGAAGACTTTTTTAGGCATATTATCCTATTTACCTCCTAACACTGTTTCCCTTTTTGCTGGCCCTATCCCACCCTTATATCCAAGATATGAAGAAACTATCAGGCCAAAAATTGAACCTAGGGCAAACTTTCAGAGGCTTAACCTCTTACCTCAAATTAAATGTATCTGATTAATTCTTACACATTTCTCTACCTCTAAAACTTCACTCACTCAGCACTTTCCCACACCAAAAATCGTGTTTAACTTCCAGTCTATTTTCTTCACTGCTGTAATGCATTTTAGTTCTTAACTCTGAATATTCCCTGCCTATTCATCTCTAACACACTTGGTTAAATAGTAACCCTTCTCAGTCTTTTCCACTGCACTTCACTAAAGCTCAGTTCTTTCATGAACAAGAATGGCTTACCATTAAGTGCAGTTCTTTCATGAACAAGAATGGCTTGCCATTATCCTATATCTAAAGTTTTCTCGATTCAGTAAATACTTCTGTTTTGGGAACTGCACTATGTGCTGGGCTATAATGAAGAATGAGCTATGATAACCAGCCTCTAAGAGCTGACAATCTTCAGGAGTCAGACAGGTATGTACACAGCTATGATGATTATAGTAAGAGAGGTTTGCAGAGAGATAAGTCTATAATAATCTTTGCATATATTGCCCCTTTGCTCAAACATTCATCACATCTTAAATGCTGAAGTATCTAAACAAGCCAGGCATTTTAAATTTACCCATTCTAGTCTCAGATGACTGTCACCCATTATTCTCTTACTGTTGTTATATATACCTCTCAGTCAAACTGAATTATCCCTTCCCTGTGGCAGTCTCTTAAAATGGTCCCCAATTATCTCCTCCTCCTGTTATTCATGCCTACTGTAATCTATCTCTGAGTGGGGGTAGGACCTGTGACTTGCTTCTAAGCAACAGAAAATGGCAAAGGTAATGGGGTATCGCTTCCCTGACTGCATCACAGGAGACTGTAACTTCAGTCTTGCCAGCAAACTCTCTTGCTAGCTTTGATATTAAACGCTGCCATGTGAGACAGGCCCAGTGGCAAGGAAGTGATGGTAGCATCAAGATAACAGACAGCTAGAAACCAAGGCCCTTGGTCCAACAGACTAAAAGAAACTGAATGCTGAATATCACCCTGCAAGCAGGAAAACAGCTGAACCTTTGGAAGAGCCCAGAGTCCTTCACTGCAGCACCATGGGAGACTCTGAGCAGATTCTCCAACTAAGCCTTGCCCCTTGCTTGGCTAATCCACAGAAACGGAGAGATAATAAATGTGTGTTGCTTGAAACCATTAAGTTTGTGATTTGTAATGTAACAATAATTAATGTACTCCCCAAATATATTCCATGACTTTGTTCTCTGTTCAACTTCTCAGCCTCCATTATTTTTTCTTAGTCAAAGGGCAGTACACACACATGAGAGTGAAAGAAAGAGAGAAAGCACCTTCCCCTCACTGGGACCTGGCCATGCTGCAAGCCTTTACTTCTATTTCTCCATCCCATCGGGATCCTGTGCTCACTCGCATATATACCTGGCATGCTGCCATCAGGGCTGGAATGCAAGCAGTGATTGGCCGTAGGATCTATCTCCCTCTACACAGTGCTTAACCACTGTGATACGGGGCCAGCTCCTCACATTACAAGTAGTCCCAAATCCTACATATCATTCAGCGTCCTGCTCACGACGCTATCTTCCAATGAGGCCTTCCATAATCCATACTTCTGCCCCACAAACTCTTTATTAGCTCTGTTGCAGATTCTTCCTTAATGATAAGAAAATAAGCTGGATAAACTGAATAAAACACAAAGGTACTCCTACCTGATTGAGATTAAGATTGTTCTCAATACTCAGGGGAATCAGATGAGGCAATACTTTTCCAGCCAGCTGCTCTTTGGTGATTCCCAACTTCTTATGAGTAAAAGTACATTTGTAAATACCTGACAGGAAAGAATGCAACAAATTTTATAATTTAACAGCATACATTAACAAAAACCATGAAAATGAAAACATCTACTTGAAATCTTTTAATATCAATAATACAAATTGCTCCTAATCAGTGTCTACAATGACAATGCTCTAATAGATGGATCAAAACGATTTCAGCCTTTATTATCAGTGCAGATTTAAACACCATGATATATTTATCTGATGTTCTTTGGATGTAAGAGCATATTTAATAATTGTGCACATTTATTAAATATGCTCTTATATCCTCATAACCTTAAAAGTTTATCAAAACCAGGTATAGTTCTAAAAAAAAAAAACCTCTTAAAAAAAAAAAAA